TCAATTGGGGTACACTTTTTGGTCCAACTTTATCCAAATTAAAATCCGTTTACACCGTTGCGATCAGACAGTCAAACTCTATTTAATGATATAACTTTTATATTTATTTGAAATACTTTTTCTGACAGCATATTTTTGGGTGTTGACTTTGACAGAGTCAAAATTGAATTAATTGATATGTAATTAAAATTAGTCTCATATTCAATCAATATTATTAAATATAAATATTTATTTCCATAAATCATTTTACAAAAGTTCACATCTTTGACTTTTTCTCATTTTTATACAAATTGCATATTTAAAATGTCATAACTGAACCTCTGTACATCAGATTTATTCATAAAATATACCGTTGGATTCGTCTCTTCGAGACCTATCCATAAAAGTCAATCTTAACAAAAATCATTGACTCCAAAAATTCCTTCATTTTTGGTCAAACATAGAAATAATGCTTTGTTGAGTGAAAATATGGTTTCTAAAAATACTTTTATAATAGAATAACTTTTAGACCATGTTTTGGGGCCTTACAGGCCCGTCCAGGAACCTGCGGGATTCATCGAGTTTTCATCACGAAGGTCTTGTGTACGTACATGGTAGCTAGGCTTAGCTATCACCCACATTCTAGTCTCCATCGGAATGACTAAGGCGTTCCTTGGCTCATCTACCGCGTGGGGATGATCACCGAAGGGCAGGGTGTCCCTGTGCAGTCTAACTTATGCATCATGATTTGTTCGGCATTGCATGATTCTATACTTTGTAGTGGATACCAGTATTCATCTTGTTTACCAAACTCGTATGTGGTATCTCGTACTTTCGTACAGGTATGAATATGTATATATCCATGTGAATATATTATGTGTTATATTGTTAGATTACCACTCAGCTTTTGCTGAGCGTATAGCATTGTTTCCTTTGCTATACGCAGGTAGGCCAGAGGATCATGGAGCCTGACCCGGATGACTGGGTGATCGGGGTGGCGGATGAGCGATAGTGCGGGCCGAATTTACCATTTATTTAATTATGAAAAACGTTTTGGGCTGGAACCCACCGTTGTTGCACTTACGTTATTATTGACTTAACGGTTTTATTTACATTCACTTCCGCTATAAACGGTCTCTTCATTTGAATTTATTTCTATCATTAAATAATATTTATATCAAGGGATTTCCGTTACAAGCAACCCAATGGTTTTCCTTGTAGACGGCCTTAAAACCATCTACGTAACCTCTCCGGCTCGTGGGGCCGCGGTGAACCGGGTTCGCGGGACGGAGGGTGTTACAAGCACTAAGGCCAATTATGGTTTCCATGTATGCCTCATGCACGAAGTGTGACCCTCGTGTATAGGTTTTCCCAAAGCCTAGGTTAAGAGATTGTTTATCCTTTCTTATCTTGCAAATTTTGATACTTTCACTTTTACGACTATTCGTATGATGTGGTGATGAGATCTAATGATGTTTTGGTTTCTCGGTGATACTATAGCTTCTTTAGCTCCTGTAGTAACCTTATCGTTGTCAGTACAACGATATATTGATTTCTAATGCTGAGAGCAACGCTATCCTTTTGAGAGAAGCTATCGAAACCAAACTATCTTCCTTTTTCTACTTCTAAAGTTGCAAATTTTCTCACTGTTATGCGTACGACACTATGTTTATGTTTTGTTAATTTCAACCTACCTTATGGTTGTTCTAAACAAGCTATTTTGTGTGTAACATTCACACTTAAGGCATTTTACAAAGTTGACTCCTACTCTTAGCTCAGCTAGGACATATATAAAATATATTCCTTTAGAATGAATCAAGTCCATATCTCATGGTACTCTATGGAACGATTTCCATGCGGTCCTTTTACAGAGTGAGTCTCCAAAAAGGCTTTACCCCGAGATTCATGCAAGTTTCAAAAACTTCCATGTATGTACTGGTCTTAGATTACTCCTAGTCCTTTGATCCATCTATATGGATTCTTTAGACTTGAGCACATAACTACTATTTGCATTCATGACTGATAAGTTTTTAATTTATTTTGTCAATGATATGCAACATACTTATTGTGCTCCCACTAGTCTTCAATAGGACTATTATCCTAGACATATAAGTGCTATAACTGGTTATAGATAATTTGAAACCCTCCTTTTATCGTTGATAGACTCGTCCAGAATAAGTGTTAAAGTGTCTTCATTCATATGAGACTTACTCTCATTACTTGCTATTAAGGAAGGAATCGTTTTAGAACAGTTTCCAAGTGCTCTTTCCTTTCAGAGTCTACAATGATTATTTTAGTGCTTAAGGTTCAGTAGTATTTGGCAAGGTTACATAATCTTCTTTATTAGACTAACTATTTTAGTCACGTTATCTAGATAACGTTTGAGGGAACGTCAAATTCATGATCGTATCGCTTTTTCCTTTCCTATTATGTAACTTTGGCATTAATATCACTTGATCTTTATTGTGCTTTATTAATGTTAATGGCAAGTTTAAATTTCAAAAATTTAAATAGAAACGGTACTTGGCTATAAACTTTATAAAGATATCTTTATATCTCTAAGTGTTTATCACTTCATTCATAATTTTGTGACAAACTTGTTAACTGATTAATATTTGTACTTTGTAGCCTTGGTATAGTTGTTGTATTGCGCTATGCTTGTGAGGCAAAATATTTGATCATATGAAATATTTCTATAAATGGAGCAACAATTTGTCCTTTATTGAAATAACCAATAATACATAAAACAATAAGTAATCATCAATTCGAAATTGAAAACTGATCAAATACTAAAACTTAAACAAATGCGCCACTGAGCTGCAACCCTTGCATCTTCAAGATCAACACTCCTACTTCTCTTCAGTTCCTCCAACGGTTTGCAATACTATAAGTTTCGAATACTTTTGAAGAGATTGTATATTAGTTTAAGTCTTTACAACAATTGTACCTGAAGCAGAAGCTTCACCCTTTTTTGGTTGCGAAATACTTCTTGCAATTCCTCTTCTAGTGGCCAACTTCACCACAGTGATGACAAATGGAATCTTTAGCCACTCCACCTTTAGGCTTGAACTTGGAAGAATTGGACTTTGGCTCGGTGTTACCCTTGCTTTTAGGTCCATTCTTCTTTGCTTTCTTGAATTTCTTCTTGCCTTTTCCTCCTTGAACTAGAAGGACAGAATTCCCCTTTCCTTTCGTCAAGCTCTCTTCGACAGTGCAGCATCTTCAAAAGTTCTGGCACTGGTTTATCGAGTTCATGCATCTCGTAATTAACCACAAACTGCTTGTACAACTCTTGCAACGATTGCAGAATTAGATCAGTCGCAAGTTCCGTCCTTAGTTCGAAACCCAATTTCTCAAGAGTTTGGACGTAGCCAATCATCTTGAGAACATGCGAACCAACGAGGTTTCCAACTAACAACTTGCAACTAAAGAGAGCTTTGGAGATTTGGAATCTCTCATGCCTAGCTTGTCCTTGGTAGAGCTGTCTTAGGTGTATGATCTTATCGTACGCCTTCATACTCTCGTGATGTTTCTGAAGGTCAGAAGTCATCGTAGCCAACATGAGACATGCCACCTCATTGTCATCATCAACATGCTTCTCATAACTATCCTTGATTTCTCTAGAAGCATTGGCGGCCGGGATAGGTGGGATGGCTCGTTCGAGCACATATTCTTTCTTCTCGTGTCGAAGAATGATAACGAGGTTTCTTTGCGAGTCTAAGAAGTTAGAACCGATCAACTTATCTTTGTCGAGGATCGAGCGAAGAGTGAGGTTATGGTTGTTATTAGACATCTACATATAATTTGCAAGATAGTTAATATCAAGAGTCTAAGTAATTAGCTAGGTCTTTAACTAATAACTCTCCCACTATTTTAACAAATCAACTACCCTCAAATACGTAACCTGTTGATTCGAGACTTCTCCTAAAGAGATATCTTAGTGGGCCAAGGTCTATATTACATTTAACTATAGTTGTGCTTTGCATCTTGCCCTATAGTTAAACTAATTAGGTAGGAACTTATTTCCAATTATGATCTAATTACAATCCTTGGTTTGTTAGGTTGTTCTAAATAAAATCCAATATTGGGCCTAGATCCTTATTTCATTTAACTATAGTTGTTCTTTGCATCTTGTCCTATAGTTAAACTATTTCAGGTAGGAACTATTTCCAATTGTAACATTTTAAAACTCTAGGTTAGATGAATTTGATTTTATTTATTAACCTAACCATGTTCCTCTAAGTTATTCATCTTTTTACCTTAACTTAGTTAAGTTCAACCCGGGGCGTACTCAGTACCCTTGTTACGAATTTCACGTCATACCAATGTAAACCAGGCGTCCCGCTTTGGCATGTTTGTTGACTGGTCAAAACTTGTATCGACGAGTGAGTCGGCGTCGGAAGGCACAAACTTAATATTACGAGGGATTTTTAAACGTGATTTCACCTATGGCATGTGTCGCGAAAATACACTAGCGAATATCATACAAACATATATACAAACATGTATAATGAATAAAACGTGACATGGTTGTGGCCTCCTAAAGAACTTAACGATAGAGCCTTCACTTGAGATCTCTATCTCTAGCTTCACCTTCTTTCTTTAAGAATGCTTCATCTTTCAGGTTCAGCCCTTCTTTCTAAGGTCCTCTTCTTCTTGGCTCCTTCATCTTCCTTGCTTCTTCATGGACTTCTTTGTTAAATCGAGAAATAGAATCCTTGCTTTATAAGCAAGGGGTATGAGGTTTAAGAAGAGATTTACAACTAGAATTTAGAGATGATGCACGACACAGAGGCCGTATTTAAAAACCAATGATTCTAAGCCACAACCACACACCATGCTTACATTCATACATCACATGCATAAAAGACATACACCGGGCAAGCCGCGCTCGCCACAGACCTAGTTTATTCTAAGAGAAATAAACTACAAGTCTAAAAGTTATCAAATAATTTTATTTAACTTTATTTTAAAACTCCAGAATATCCAAAATTTAATTTTCAATTTTCCTTAATTTTAAAATGATTAATTGCCGTAAATATAAGTATTAATTTTGAAATTGGGATTTTAATTCGAAATAAATACTTATACCTTTTGAAAAATTAATCAATAAATTTCAGAATTTGTATTCTGATTTTATAATTCTGAAAATAAAATTTCCAGAATTTATAAAATTTGTTTTCTAAATTCTTTATTTAAATACCCAAAACCAGACTTGAATTTTCCAAAAATTAATTCCAATTTTCCAAAAATTGTTATTTTCCAAAAATATTTACATTGGTTCCGTATTATTCTGAAAATCAAATTTCCAGATTTAAATAAATTTTATTTATGGTATTTTGGAATTTATTCCCAGAAGAGTTAAATTGAATTCCAAAATTATTTTAGAACATTTCAAATATTAAAAAAACCAATATTTTCCAAAAATTAAGTTTTTGAGTCATATAAAATCTAAAAAAAATTTCTAGATTTTATTTAAATTTGTTTTCGGTACTTTCTATTTATTATTTGGTAATCCATAAAACAATTTCTAGAATTATTTTTCGTGTACCATAATTGCTCTTAAAATCATTATTCTCAGAATATTATGATATTATTACCAAAACCTAAATTTCCATAATTTCAAATTAATTATTTAATTTTCGGGAATTAAATACCGATTAACAAAACTGTTTTTCCCAAAACTTAATAATTAAATACTTAAATTAAAAATTTGATTCTAAACACTTTTCTGCACTCTGAAAATCATAGTTGAAAGTTCATAAACTTATAATCCCGAATTTTAATTGTCCTTTTCGATTTAATCTATATTAATACCGAATAAGATTATTTAAATCGGGAAAAATAGAAACTAAAAACAAAAAATTTATTTTAATTTTTCAGATTATTTAAAATCATATTTTAACATCCCAGAAGTATTCAAAGTATTTTCCTTAATTTATTTTGTATTTATCTTGTAATCAATCAAGTTATTTACAAATCAACCAATACTTTATAAATTAGAAAATAAATTCTGAAAATTAATTTTAAATATCCAGAGGTCATAAAATCATATTTCAAGGTCTCAGATATATTAAAATTATTTTTCCATAATTTATTTTGTATTTATCTTGTAACTAATCAAATTAACTACAAATAAAACAATACTTTATAAATTAGGAAATATATTCCGAAAATAAATTTTAAATTTCCAGAGGTCTTAAACTCATATTTTAATGTCTCATATTTAATAAAATTTAATTTTAAAATTTTCGAAATATTTTAATTGGTTAAAACAGTTTTTAACCCATTAACCCGAAAAAAAAAAATAAATCCAAAATTAAATTCATAAATCCTATTTTCGAATTTTATAAGGTCCAGAATCATATTTTGGAACTTACTTGAATTTTGGATAATTTTAAAAAATATATACACATATATTTTATTTTATCAATTATAAAAAACTCTAACGGCAATTAAATATACAAAACTTATAATTCTCATAAGTCGGCTCTGATACCACTGTTGGGTTCTACGCTTGGATAGGGCAGCGGAAATATAAAAATTTTGGTCGAAACGTAGATCCACCCAGGACCTCTTATTATTATGTGTAGGTTGATGGATTGATCCAAGAGCTAGCCACAAAAGTATATGACCTCCAGTTGAGACACACGAACAATGAAGAGTGTTCTAGAGAAAATTATGCTAGTAATTTTTCTCTAGAATATTTCTAAAATATAAAATATTTCGTTTAAACTATTAAGAGAGCAAAACAAAATTTTTGTCTCTTAAAAAGAGAGGAGGGCGAAATTCTTTATCACCAAAAGGGGTGGGATGATCTCCTATTTATAAGGAGCATAATCATCATTCCTATTCCTAATAGGAATGTACCTTTTAGAGTTTAGGAAGGAAATCAAATCACATTCCTATTCAACTTAGGTAATTTCAAAAATCCCACTTTAAGGAAGCTTCCAATTTATTTTGTAAAATTTAATTATCATATAATTTACACAAAATAAATAATATACTCCCTCCGTCCCCCATAGATCTTCCCATTAGCCCTTTTTATTTGTCCCACATAGATCTTCTCATTACCTTTTTTAATATTTAAAATACCACAACTACCCCCACTTACTTTATTTATTTCACCTTTTCCACCTTATTTAATACACCCCACCCATTTTCATTAAGGGTATTTTGGTAAACTTTCACCTTTTTTCAACTCTCCTTAAAAACCACAAAAAGTCAAAACGGGAAGATCTTAGGGGACGGAGGGAGTAACATTTATTATATATATACATATATATACGAAACATATATATATATATATATATATATATATATATATATATATATATATATATATATGCCGAACACACATATAGATACATACATACATACATACATACATACATATATATATACACACACACACACACATATATAATAATTATGTTTTGTTTTGTTCCTTAAATAATGATTGACAAACTTATTTATCATATAATTAAAATGTCCAAATATTATATATATATATATATATATATATATATATATATTCTTGTGCCTTAATAATAATAATAAAATAATAAACAATTTATTATTTATACATATATATATATATATATATATATATATATCCGAATGTATATATATTTATTATTATTAATTAAATTTGTCAAACTTAATTATCACATAATTAAAATGTCCAAATATAAATGTTTATTTATATATATGTTTGTGTATCTAATCATATTGTCATACAATATAATATACACGATATATAAATAATGTAACACCCTAATCCGTCTAGGTCTGCAGCCCCATTCGGACTAAAGTATTTAACTTGGTAATCGTAAAAATTTAAAAATTTTCAAACACACTTTTTTAATCTCAATAATATTTTTCATAACATATACAGTACGGAGTATTCAACAATATTGCGGAAGCGAATTTAATTTTGACATATCATAAATCATTTCAAACATGTCACATCCATCCCGACAATCTCACCCCATCTGCCGCCAGGATCACATTATGCTTTCTGTTTACCTACGTGTAGCAAATAAAACACACTACACGCTCAGCGGTAAAGCTGAGTAAGCATATCTAATGCGTCGAACATCCATGTAAATTGGATCTAAACTCATAATCAAATTATTTGATATCATGCACACAATGTTTATTTCAGACATTCACAGTTTTGATACTATTCAGTTCATATCAACACATTTTATTCAATTCAGTTATTATTCTAATAGTGCCCTTAAACTATTCTTAATCTAAGGCCAAATAATAACAACGCTCTTAGCTAATATTAGTCTAAGGCCAGATCATAACAATGCTTTTAGCTATTCCTAGTGTAAGGCCAGATCATAACAATGCTCTTATTAGCTATTCTTAGTAAGACAATTATTAATCAGATACTTAAACTATCATTAGTTTAAGGAAAATGATTTCGGACACTTAACTGTAGTCAGTTAAGGAAATCAGACACTTAAACTATCACTAGTTTAAGGCAAATGATTCGGACACTTAACTGTAGTCAGTTAAGGCAACAACAATATAGCGATTGATCAACATCGGATTGGGAATTCCCAAACGAGTAATCCTCTAGTTTAGTCTACGTATCCCGTTTATACATTTTTATTTAATTCATCAAATATTCATGTTTTCACAAGTCAATTCTAATACAAGATCTATTCTAGAGATCTTCTAGATAGCCTTAACATCAATGAACAAATGGGTATATCTTAAAGTTCTTCTAGATACCGTTAACAATACAAATCGTTTAATAATTATCAATATATTCATTTTAATCATGGTTCAATCATCAATAATCATTTTAATTAGCAAGTTTATCATTCATAATCATCCATAATAATCATTCATCATAATCATCAATCAACATAACAATTGTGATGGGCCGATATCCGGTGGGTGGCCCAA